AGTCTGTTGAAAAAAATTGCACAGATACAGGTTTGAAGCCCAAAGAAAAAAACCCGACACGAGTAAACAACTAACTAACAAAAGAGCTCAATACAACCGTAGAGCAGACCTAGATAAACCTAGTGAGCCAGACAAACCTACCCAGGTTTCACGTAAGCGGATCGTCAGGAAAGCTATATATATATATATATATATATATATATATATATATATATATATATATATATATATATATTTCTTTTTACCGGTAGCAGAACTGTGAGTTTAATGTACGATGTAATCGTCAGGTGCTAATTGAAAACTCAATATGCGATATTTTATATTTATATTGATTATGTATATAACCGTGTCTTGTAATGGAATATCCAATTTTGCAGCCTGACGATGCCTAATTGGTAGAAACCGCGGTAACAGGAAGGTTGGTTATATATATATATATATATATATATATATATATACAGAGAGAGAGGGGGGGAGAGAGTGAGAAAGAGTGAGAGAGAGATTCCGCTACCTTGTTTTCAACCTTTCGGTATCTTCAGGCGATTCCAGTCATTTGATTTCTTAACGCATTATTGTTTATTAATTTTTGAAATTAATGAACGTGAAGTGTAATAGAAGGTGTGAGAAGGAGGAGAAAAGCAAGTGTATTGGAAATGTATCGATGGAGGTGTTAAATGAAATGTACATGCATTTTTGTTCGTCCTAGTTCATACGAACTCAAAAGGAACTTTTTAGTGTGTATGCAACGAATCATAATTTCCGATCTCTCATTCAAAACTTTTTTTTAAATTTTTGGTGGGGCGGGATCTGGAAATGTTATTGCTAACTTTTCTTGTTGACAAAGGTTGCAGATATTACTATGATTGTTGTAAGGTTTGGATTTTTTTTAATTTTTCAGTTTACTATCGTATCTTTGTTAATTTTTTTCATTTAATTTTCACACATGATTGGCTAGTCTTACAATTGATGTCAATTCTTTCTTCCCATTTTTTTCTGCTTTCTGTAGGAACTGCTCTAGTTTCTGTGTTTGCTTTCTGTTACCTGCATATGTTATGTTGTGACTGCTAGCCATGAATCCTGGTGGAACCTTTATTTTTCTCAGGATTACTTTATTGTAAGATTTGAATATGCCTGCCGGGTAAACATATTCTTTTCTTAGACCCTCTATATTTTTGTATTTACTGAATTTTCTATAAGTATGCGGATATTTTGCTCCCAGTATAAGGTCTGGATTATTCTAATATCCTTCCGAGATTAATTAAGTCTACCTCGAAATTCAATCAGCGTACCGGTATGCTCTTTCTCAAACGCTTTTGCATAAAATATTACTCATTTGTATTGATCTTTCTGATATCATTCTGAGATTAAGTATCACATTCTACCAAAAAAAAAAAAAATCTAAATTTAAAAAAATAAAGCTTTACATAATCAACAGGCTGGAATAGCCTGAATCCTGTTTTTTATATATTTAAAAGCTGTACGTGTTAAATTTCTATTGTTTTATACGTGTATTGAGCACTTTTTAATTGGGAGAGAGCGTGTTATCCTTAATGATCAAAAATTTGAACAAGGCCAGCACGCTTAAGCCCTCGGTCACGATGACTTGTGACTTCGTGCTAGCACAGCTATCGACGCCCCCTACCAATTTTACTCACAAGGCTTGGGTCAACCCGTGGTATGGTTTTCAGGCACTTAACAAAGGGGCCGCACGCTGGGATCGGATGTTCTTAGTCTCTTCGTTTTTGTTTTTTTTTACACCAGTCGAGTATAGACATTAATATATATATATATATATATATATATATATATATATATATATATATATATATATATAGTTAAACCTAGAGAGCCAGACAAACCTACCAAGGTTTCACCTAAGTGAAAAAAATGAACAAATAAACAACGGAGAGGTGGGGAGTACCATTTATTAAATGAGAATAAATAGTACTCCCCAACCCCTCCGTTGTTTGTTTGTTTGTTTGTTTGCATGTTTTTTTTTTGTTTTTTTTTGTTTTTTTTGTCACGTGGTTATGGTTTTTTGTTTATTTACTATATATTCTGTTCTTTCTTTACCTCTTTAGCCAGCCTTCCCTTACGATCCGCTTAGGTGAAACCTTGGTAGGTTTTTCTGGCTCTCTAGGTTTAACTAGGTCTGCTCTACTCATTGTATTGAGCACTTTATTTAGTTATTTTGGATACTAGCATCGGGTTTTTTTTCTTTGGGCCTTAAACTCGTATGCTGGGCGATTATTTTCGGTTAACGTACATGTTCTTGGTTCTTTCTTTATTTTGTAGCCTTTTTTTTCTCCATTTGGTGTTGGCTTGTTTATTTGCAAATCAACACACTGAAGGTTTTTCTGAGCGGGTATAGTTTCTTATACTTATAAGATTTCTATTAATAATATATATATATATATATATATATATATATATATATATATATATATATATATATATTTGGTTGGATTGATATGAGTTTTTAAGTACTGCGTATATAATATATAAATAATAATATATATATTATATTACACACACACATATATATATATATATATATATTTATGTTTATATTCATATACACACACTTTTCACAGACACACACACACACACACACATATATATATATATATATATATATATATATATATATGTTTAATGGTCAGAGTTGAATCAGACCAGGAAGCAGTAGTATTAAAAAGTGCTCAATACACGTGTGAAAAAAACAAAAGTAAAAAATAAATGTAGAGTTTTTTACTTTTAAAATCAAGAGATCATTGAATCCACTATTTGGTTTCAACCTTACGGTATCCTTAGGCGATTTTTTATCAAATGACCTCTTAATGATTTTTTTATTTATTTTTAAAATAATAATAATAATATAGCGTTCTTTAATTTTTAAGAAAATTAAAACAAAGCGTTAGGTGGTCATTTCGTAAAAATCACCTGAGGATACCGTAAGGTTGAAACCTAGGAAACGGATTCAACTGACCTCCTGATTTTTTATATATATATATATATATATATATATATATATATATATATATATGTTTAATGGTCAGAGTTGAATCGGACCAAGAAACAGTAGTATTAAAAAGTGCTGTTAACTCTGGCCATTAAGTCTGTGTTAGTGTGTCTGCCAAATTTCAGCACAATAAACATCAAATAAAAGACAATACTTATAGATAATTATATGTATGAGTACGTGTATCTTTTGCTAATTGTTCATCCAATACAAGGCCCAACAGGCAGTCAAGGTAGCGAGTTACTGAATGAGGGTGCTGTATGTGCGCCCGAGGAGGACGTAAAGAGTGCAGATTATGGTAATTTTCTCTTTCTCCCTTCTCTTTTCCCTATCATTCTATATCTTTTTCTCTCTATTTTTTCTTTCTCCCACTTCTCACTCTCTTTCTACCTGTCCACATTCTCCCTTTTCCTTTTCTTTCCCTCTTCCTTCTCCTCCCCTCTCTCCTCTCTTTTTCTCTTCCCTTTTATCTCTGTCTTCCTATCTGCTTGCTTGCCTAGAAAACGAGCATTAGATGTGTCACAAGACAGAATGTGTGGGACACCCAGTGAGGATCGAACTCACTACTCAGTCGTAATTCTCCTAGTGAGACAAGCTTGCTAAACATTTCACCACATCGAGGTGCCCAAAGTTCGGGTTATGAGGATATGTAGGAAAGATAGCCATCGGCCCAAGACTGAAGAGATTACGACTGTAATGATCGAAGAAGCATCCCCTCGGGAGTCTGTTCCACAAAGTGTCAGTTCTGGTGATGAAACTCTCAGAATTCAACTTTCTTTTCACAAATGGAATACAAAGTGGCAAGTCTTAGCTGTAAAGGTCTGAACTGGTGGAACTAAGGAATTTAGGTCGTCAGAAGATTTGCCATGGAAATAGCGACAAAGTAGTGGTATGTGTGTGTGTATATGTGTGTGCACAGTTGTGTAACTTTTCATTACGTGTGTATACAGGTTCGCTTATGTTCAGCTTGATATATTTAGTCAGTCAGTTATGTGCCATGCTTTGGCGATCATGTATCTTTCGATACATGACTGACGAAGCAGATTTTTCCCGCAGTAGGTTGCCATATCTTCATGCGTAGACCAGTTACCATCCAGGGCTATAGAACCCAGCCTGTCTTGCTATTTACCCATAGCTGGGGTGGGAGGAGGAAGAGAAGAGGATTCATACCTTTCCCAAGGGTATAGCACGTAAGTGAATGTAATGGATTCTACTGGAATTCGAACTCGGCTCTCTGATTTATCAATCCGAGCCGCTATCCATTACCCCACCTGATATATTTAGATCACTTCACATTTGGCATGGAACTACTTTATTAGAAAGCGGCCTGCAAAGTAAAAGAAAAAGGATAACCATTTACTGTCAATGGTTTTTGAGATCTGCATAATACCCAGTGTGTAGTCAAGAGAAGGAGAGTAAGTCGATTTCAAATGCATGAATGAGGGAGAGTTGGTTAAGAGATAGAGATTGTGTATGAGTAAGAACGAGAGAAAAATGTGTATGCCCGTGTGTAAAATTGTTAACAGTGTATGTGCGTGTTGTGTGTGTACGTGACTCTTTGCTTGTTAGAAAGAAGTAAAATGTATATGTGTGTGTGTGGACATTGTTGCCCTCATCTTTGTTGTTGTAAGTTCCGGCCTTATTCAGGTGATTAGAATTTCGAACCGAACCCTATATTTCGTTCTAATTCCAACTGCCATGCCTCTTCCGGATATCTCAGTTTCTACCGCAGACGAAATAAATGGTTCGGTTCAAAATTCCAATCGCCAGAGGAAGGCCGGAGTGAACAACGGACGAAACGTCGTGAATATGACAACAAAATTGAAGACAACAGACCAAACAGTAATGTAAAATAATAAATCAGTATTGATTAGCTATATATATATATATATATATATATATATATATATATATGTGTGTGTGTGTGTGTGTGTGTGTGTGTGTGTGTGTGTGTGTGTGTGTGCGTTTTTGTGCCTACCTAATCTTGATTAATACGTGAGTGTAGGCGTGTTAGAAAGTGTACGCGGAAGTATAGATATGTGTGCTTGTACGAGATAAAACAATGAGTGAGTGTGCAAAAAGAGAGTTTAGATACATATGAACAGACGGAGATAGATAGATAGATAGATAGATAGATAGATAGATAGATAGATAGATAGATAATTAACAGAAAGAGATAGATAGATAGATAGATAGATAGATAGATAGATAGATAGATAGATAGATAGATAATGAGAAGACTGAAATAGACAGAGAGAGTAATAGATAATGAGCAGACTGAAATAGATAGATAGATAGATAGATAGATAGATAATGAGAAGACTGAAATAGACAGAGAGAGTGATAGATAATGAACAGACTGAAATAGATAGATAGATAGATAGATAGATAGATAGATAAATAAAGACTTTGAGAAAGAGAGAGAGAGACTAGTTTAGTATGTATGTATGTACTTCTATTTTTAGAAAAAATGTAATAAACTCGTTAAATAATCTCTATGAATATAATATGTGTAGGCTAAAGATTTTCTTTTATTAATACATATTTTAAATGTATATATATATATATATATATATACAAACGTGTATTATTCGACAAAAAATGTTTGTGATTGTAGTAGAGAGTCTCCATTAAAACTGTGTACACGGTATATCAACCGATATTTAAAAAGATCATGCCAAGCAATTTTGTTTCACGATTCGTTTGAAAAATACATGAATATTGTTCAGACTCTATATCGTATATAATGACCTGAAGACGGGACGGTAACAGGGTTTGATTAATTTTTTTTTTTTTAAAGAAGGGACTTAAAAATAAAAAAGCTAGGTATTGCTTTTTTAATCTACACTTAATTTCTGTATCTGTTTATTTTTTTTTTTTCGTCTTTATTTCCCCTATTTTTTTTAATTACAATTTTAAAAATGTATAAAATTGCTTCAATCTCGACGGTTGAATAAAAACTGATTGAAGCAGACGATCGTATAAGTTACACTTTACTCTTTCATTCGTTATATTTAATTTCAGAAGGCAGACTAACCAATCGTCCCGCCCGAAAGGCAAATGCTAGCAAGTGTCTGCTTGTTCGTTCGTTTCAACGGCCCTTTGCCTCTCTCTATGTCAATACTTTTTCAACCCACTCTCTTATTAATTCACCTCTAACCGTCACTCTCTCTTTGTCTGGTACATTCTAGCAACAATACTGCAACTAACACGGGTTTGTCATGCGGCAGAGATTGTCATATGTCTCGAGCCCATATAAAAACTGGAATTTCAAATTCTGATTTTCTAGGCAAGCAAGTAGATAGAGAAAAAAGGAAAGAGAAAAAGACAGGAGAGAGCGGAAGAGGAGGAGGAAGAGGGACAGAAAAGGAAAAGGGAGAATGTGGGCAGGTAGAAAGAGAGTGAGTAGTGGAAGAAAGAAAGAAAGAAAGAAAGAAAGAAAGAAAGAAAGAAAGAAAGAAAGAAAGAAAGAAAGAAAGAAAGAAAGAGATAAAAAGAGAAAAAGATATAGAATGATAGAGAAAAGAGAAGGGAGAAAGAGAAATAAAGAGTGAAGGAGATGAAAAAAGTAGGGCTAGAAAGAGAGAAGGGAATGTGAAAGTGAGCGGGAAGAGGATAAATAAGAAGAGAAAGAAAGGAAGAGGGACAGGACGAGAGAAAATATATATATATATATATATATATATATATATATATATAATGATATTATGCGAGGATGGAGGAGATAGAAGAAAAGAAAAAAAGGAGAATTGTGACGAAAATGTTTTGGGGTGGGAGAGAGAGGGTAGAAAAAGAAGAAAGAACGGAGAAAAAAGTAAGATATAGAGGAAAATAGAAAAGGACAGGGGAGAGAAAAGAAAGAAAGAAAGAAAGAAAGAAAGAAAGAAAGAAAGAAAGAAAGAAAGAAAGAAAGAAAAAAGAAAGAAAGAAAGAAAGAAAGAAAATGAGAGGAAGAAAAAAGACGAGAGAAAACGAGGGCGGAGAAAGAAAGAGGAGAGAGGGTGAAGAGGAGATGTGGGAATGAGAAAGTGATCAGAAAGAGAGAGGGGCAAAGGAGGAAGAGAGAGGGAAGAAGAGAACAAAAATTGGAGAAGATAAAGGAGAAGTAAAAAAGGAATGAAAATAAGATAGTGGACAAGAGAAAGAGGATAGAGACATAGAGGGGAAATTGAAAGAAACTGGCGTAACACAATCTTCCAACTATCATTTCCTACCCACCCATCTAGACTCAACCTTTATAATTGTCGACATTTAGAAAGTTTTACGTCTATCCGACACAAGGACACAAGTCTAAAGCCCTCAGTGGGATTCGAACTCACTACAGTAGTATTGACATTACCTGGCTAATCATTGCTGCACATCTATCACGTGACCAGATGCTGCGCAAAAAGGTATCCTCTTTCTTTCTTCCACTTTCTCTCACTATTCCTTTCTGCCCAATTTCTCATTCCGCCTCCTCTCTTTTTATTTCTCCCCCCCTCTCTCTCTCTCTTTTCTTCCTTTCGTCTCTTTCTTTCCTCTTTCGCTCCCGTATTTCCCCTCTTTCTCTTTCTTTCTTTCTTATTCACTTCTCTCTCCTGTCTCTATAATTTTTCTTCTCTCGTTCTCTTCTTCCTTTTTCCTTCTTCCCCTTCTTCTCTCTTTTGCTCTCTCTTTATTTTCTCCTTCTCGTTCTTTTTTCCTCTCCCTTCTCTCGCCCCTATATATATATATATATATATATATATATATATATATATATATATATATAAGGCAGCAATCCTTCTTTCATGCACATTTCATTGAATATGACAGACAACGTGCTTTGATTTAGTTTTTTTATACAATTTATTCTCATGATAAATTATATAAAAACTGTCCGAATGTTCTTTTTATCCGAGCGCTTTCGGCTATACATTTAGCCATTTTCAAGGATTAAATTTTTTAACTGTTAAATAAGAAATAGTTTGTTGTATGTATGTTTTATAAAATGTTTTTCATTTTTCAAAACACGGTCAAGATATTATGTCCATGTTCAAAGTTAATATTATTAAGTGTTGGTTTGTTTGTTTTTATTAATAAGGCTTCCATTATTTTTAGCCTTTTTTTACATGTAGATGATGCTATTATATTAGTGTTGCCAACAAGTATGTTACGAATAGTGTCCGGTAGGTCTGAATGAATATTTAAATGAGATCTAATTGAGCTATGATCAGAAAGGTGTAGAGTGAGTCTGCGTGTCAATATATATATTGTAGACATTGTCTAATATACCCCTTAAAAAATAATTATGAAAAATAATTCACTTATTTATACCTATTATTTGATCATAAATTTAAAAATTTATTGATGCGTAATTAAATTCGAATATATTAATTTTATAGTATCATATATAGTCTACTAGTAAATTAAATAAATATAGTATCTTAGATACGTAGGGATAAAAATATAAGTATAAAAATATGACTTATTCATATTTGAATATCACTTTAAGAAAAAAATAAATAAAAAAATAATTAAAATAAATAAATAAATACCAAATATATTGTAGCGTAAACTTTAATAAAATTAAATAAACCAGACAATAATAACTTGACAGTTTGAAAGAAAGTCAATGTATCTAGAAAGAAATCATAAGCCCCGCCCAACTTTAACCGACTTTAAATTTGCTAGAGAAAGATACACTTACTTTCTATACCCAACACACCCACAATAAAAAAAATGGGTATTCTCTTAATACCACAAACTTAACTTAAAAATAGAGTAATTCTTAGCATCGCTTGAGAATGGAACAGAGCTCTGAATTTTAATTTTAAACTTTAAAGTTAAATTTTAAGATCTGAACTTCAGTTTCGAAACATAGTAATTTCTGTGTCACGATAGAGATTTTTTTAAAGCATTTCACCCCAAGCAAGGTGGGATGCAACTAGTACGCAGGGGTTACAGAGTGGGAACGAGAGTAAACAGGTATGTTGGAGGAAAGGATGAAGAGAAGGACAGGAAATAGGTCAGGGTATCTGAAGATGTCGATTGACATTACATTTAAATAGTTGGAGATTATAGCTATCAAGGAAACAAGTTATAGGAAGGGAATTCCACAGATGGAACGTGCGAGACATGAAGCTATTGAAGTAGAAGAGACAGCCACATTTAACCGTTTCGACAGTGAAAGGATGTGACCGTGATGCCAGTCTAGTAGCACGCTTAAATTCCTGCAATCTGGGAACTAGCGACAGTAGTTCGTCAGAGCAGTTACCGTGAAAGTATTTGTAGAAAAGACAGAGGTAGGCGACGGTATGTCTTTGAGAGAGCGACTGTAGACGAGATGCCAGATCAGGGCCAATTACATTGCATATCCGTCTCTGGATCTTGTCGAGGATGTTAAGGCAAACAGCGGGGGCACCAGACCATATATGGCAGCAGTATTCCATGCAAGGGCGAAATGGTTGATTTGTAGATTTGAAGGATGGACTCGGGCGAGAAAAACTTTTTGGCGCGACACAAGGAACCAACTTTCCTCGCAGTGGATGAAGCTATTGATTCACTGTAATTGTTCCATCGCAGATCAGCGGACAGTGTGAGACCAAGCAGTCGTAAAGAGGTGCTCTCGTGGATTTGAGCATCAGACATTCTAATGGGTGGCAGGGATGGTTCCCTGTGGTGAGAAATAGAGAGCAGTTTTGTTTTAGAGGCATTAAAGTTAACCAACAACTTCCTGTTCCAATCAACAACCGATTGGAGTTCCTTTTCAAGACTAACGGCCAGGTTAGTTTTGTCAGCGATACCAGATTTGCTTTTGAGGCAGGAGTAAATAGTAGTGTCGTCAGCAGAGATGGCTACTTGGGAAATTATATATATATATATATATATATATATATATATATATATATATATATATATAATGATTTTTATTACAAGAGATTAGAACAAAACATGTTGAAATCGCTGCACAATACCTTTCATTTTTTCGGAATTATGTTCTGCCTCTTCTTTTTTCGAAAGATTTGATATATATATATATATATATATATATATATATATATATATATATATTTCCACTGGGAATGAGAGACCTCTATTCTTTTTTATGACATCTGTGGAAAGGAAGGAAAATTCTGATATAATACCTGCGACTTCGTTTACATTCCATGATACAAACTAGTTCATTTTTAACAAATGCAATCCTGGGTATGACGGTAAACTACATCCGACAGCAAGTCCACTGATCGGGAGGGTTTTGAATTCAGAGTTGTCCTTCTCCTAGACCAGTTCCACTTGCCATCCAAGGCTATAGAGCCCAGTCTGTCCTCCTATTTACCCATACCTGATATATATATATATATATATATGTGTGTGTGTGTGTGTGTGTGTGTGTGTACAGACGACTAATATTATATATATATATATATATATATATATATATATATATATATTGTTTGTATTATTTACATTATTCGGTCTGTTATCTCCACCATTTTCTTTGCCATACGCTCCGGCATTATTCAGGTGACTGGAATTTCGAACCAAACCCTTTATTTCGTCTACCGGGAGGATTGATCTAGTTCCACGTGCCACGCCTCTTTCAGATGTTTCAGTTATTTCCCTTTAACACAACTCCCCAAGTTTTTCGTTCACTACTGTTGTGGCCCGATATTGAACTCACAACTCTTTGAGTCTAGTCACTGGATCTAACCAACGTCTTTATCCACGTTGTGAATATGGCAATGAAGATGAGGACAACACTCCGAATAATGTAAATAATGCAAGTAATCATAATACCTCATCTCAGAGATATAGACTGATATATAGAGAGACATAGACATAAAGGCCGAAGCGTACAACGGCCGAAACGTTGTGAATATGGCAATGAAGATGAGGGTAACAGTCAGAATAATGTAAATAATGCAAGTAATCATAATACCTCATCTCAGAGATATAGACAGATATATAGAGAGACATAGACATAAAGGCCGGAGCGTACAACGGCCGAAACGTTGTGAATATGGCAATGAAGATGAGGACAACACTCCGAATAATGTAAATAATGCAAGTAATCATAATACCTCATCTCAGAGATATAGACTGATATATAGAGAGACATAGACATAAAGGCCGAAGCGTACAACGGCCGAAACGTTGTGAATATGGCAATGAAGATGAGGATAACAGTCCGAATAATGTAAATAATGCAAGTAATCATAATACCTCATCTCATATATATATATATATATATATATATTGCAGACAAGGTTTACCCTGTCCAGGAAACGGTTATACATTTAAAAAGTGTGTGTATGTGTGTGTGTGAGAGAGAGAGAGAGAGAGAGAGAGAGAGAGAGAGAGATGGTGAGAGAATGCGTGTGTGTCTGTATTTTTGTGTGTGTTTCATTGAATGTAGGAGACAAAAAAAAACAGCTCATTATTGGTAGACGAATATAGACATCTAGACAAATAAGCAAAGGAAAACAAGAAAGGACTAACCCTCAATTGTAAGAAGACGGCATATTTGGCCATCAGCAAGATGCGAGTTACAAAATGAAGACGTCAAAATTAATGAAGTACAAAAATTCATATGTCTGGAAAGTGTTTTAACAGACGCGGGAAATATTACACCGAAATTCAAAAACGCACTGGAATAGTATAAATGCATTCCAAAAAGCTAAGCAAAGTATGAAGAAACAGGATAATTTCTCTAGAAACAGGGAAAACAGTGCTGAACTGCGAAATAACGAAAGACGCATCCTAAAAGCTAAGTAAAGTATAAAGAAACAGGATCATTTCTCTTGAAACAGAGAAAATAGTGCTGAACTGCGAAATAGCGAAAGACGTCTTCCAAAAGCAAAGCCAGGAATAAAAAAAAAAAACAGGATAATTTCTCTTAAAACAGAGAAAAGAGAGCTGAACTGCGAAATAGCGAAGGACACCTTCCAAACGCTAAGCAAAATGTTAAAAAACAGAAAAAAAATTCTTTAGAAACAAAGAAAAAATTACTAATTATGTAATATCAATCTTCCTATATAGCAGTGAATGCTGTACAATCTCTTCACGGGCGAAGAAACTTGAGGCAAAAGAAATGTGGTTCTACAGAAGGATGATGAGAATTCCATGGGCTGAACATGCGAATAACAAGTAAGTTTTAGTGAAAATGCTAACAAAAATCACTTAGAATCATAAAGCGACAGCTGAGAAGAAAATAATGAGGAAAGAAAACTTGGAAAATTTGACACT